TAACACCCCCACCCTTCAAGAAATTAATTCGCCACCACATGGTGAATTAATTGAACCTCTCTTACTAGACAACCATACCAATCTCACAATTCCCAGAATAAACCTAAATGGGACTAAATCCATTTAACATAATCATTACTAAAAAGATAAGAAACGTGGATGATTTAGTCACAATAACAAGTTTGACTAAATACCCCAAACACAATGTCATCAAACATAGACATCAAAGTAAATAAAACAGCAAATCTGCAACACATGTGTCACTGTCGCAAATAATGCTAAGATTGAAAACCAACAGTCTTCGTTTTACTGATAGTTACGTCATCAGTCAACAAAACCTGTCAATACAATTAAAAACTGTCACGAATTCATCATCATGTAAAACATCAATAACACATTTTTTTTTTTTTTTTACAAGACATGTAAAAGGTACGTTCTTTAAGCCTGAAAACAGTTCATTTTGATTAGAACACTTGCATCCTGGGAAAACATGAAACAGTCTATCTTGGAAACAGTTCTAATAGGTTTGAAACACAAATTAGTTTTCCGTCTTTCGGGTCATCATGAGTCCGTAAACATAAAAAACTTTAGCCGAACTTTATAACGGCGCAGCACAAATTTAGTAACAGAGTTATTGTCCGTCCACACCAATATCGACTCGCACATAAGGCGTGGTTTCACAGGACTGCTTGCACTAATGTAGCCATGTTTTGACACGATGTTAATCCTGAACATCGAGTCACACAAAGAGGGAACGATTACACGCCCCGTCTCCGTGAAAGCAATGGGGTGTGCGCTCGCTTGTACGCACCCTCGGTTGAGAGAAGTAGCGTGACCCGCTGAGGTCACCGTCTCCGGGTTGTTGGTTTTGACCGGGTCGGTCAGAGAACAATAAATCACCTCCGTGATAAGGGGAGGGAAGCCTGAGTTAGGCTCAACTCCTAAACAAGAGGTAACAACTACGCTTGTCACCGACGTTGACAAAAGATTCGTCGTCTCCTCAAACTCGGGATGTAGAACACCATCCGCGTGACCTCCAGGTGAGGTCATGGCCTCTGGGTTGCTGGACTTGGTCGGGGAGAAATTAAATACTGCTGGGATCATGGGAGGACAGCCCGTGTTAGGCTCACCTCCAAGACAATGGGTAACAATTTCGTCTGTTACCGAGGCTGGCAGAAGATTCGTTGACTCGTCTAACTGAAGGTGTAGGTCACCATTCACATGACCTCCAGTTAAGGTCATGACGCCTTCAAGACCACAAGTGGTAAGGTCTTGATCAGATGCAGTTACTGGTTCAGGTTCAGATGAGGACAGCCTGTTCTCATGGGTATTCACTCTCTCGGTGGTTACCGTGATTTCAGCGGTGGTTGTAACCACTGGTTCTGATATTGACTGCCCCTTTTCATGACTGGTCAACATCAGAGTGGTTGCCGTTATATCATCGGTGGTTGTATCCACTGGGTCAGATATTGACAGCCCCTTTTCATGACTGGCCAATAACAGAGTGGTCGCCGTGATTTTATCTAAACCAATAATTTGCTGACTGCCTTCAGTACTTGTCGGCAGACAACTTTCGACTCGTAAGCTATCAGCACGTTTTGACGTTTGTGCTGATTCTGCTAGGTTAGAGTCGACTTCAGGGACTGAGCCAAAGCTAGTGGCAGCCTTAGTCTGAGACTGACAAAACTCACTACCTACTCTATCAGACAACAAACTATCTTCATCTCTATACCGATCCTCGGAAACTACTACACTAGCCTGAGAGAAAACAGAGACAGATTCTGGAAAGTCAAACAACCCACTAAGATGCGCCTCCTCCCATAGCCTAAGTAAATCCCGTTCCCTCCTGATCTCTAATAGTTTAACTTCATGTCCGAACAGTTTCTCTAAACTTTTAATGTTAATTTCCTTCCAAGATTCTAACATGAATATATCCCTCCTGATCTCTAACAACTTATCCTCTTTTTCTCTCGTGATCTCTAACAACTTAACTTGAAACTTTCTCTCAATTTCTTCAACCCTAATACGTCCGATCTCATAATATTCTATCGAGTCTAGACACTCCTCCTCTAATCTACCTGTATTTACCAACTCAACACAAATATGATCTCGTAGAACTCTATCTCTATCCGAGACATCAACCTCTAGTCCTAGCTCCTCAACTAGTCGCAACAACTCTACGCGACAAAACCTGTCTAAAACTTCTAGAGTTGGACACTCCATAAAACTCATTACGTCCATGATTCACACTTACGGAACTTATCCAGCTAAATGGTGGCGGTTAACTACTAAAAAATGTGGCTCACAACAAAAACTTTAACTTAAACATTAAAAGTAGGGCTATCACCTTTGACACTTGAAACAGGTAGACACCAGCTATACTGGGCCAACCAAACTAAGATATCCAGCTACACTGGATCACAAACGATTCACTCACGTATACTGGGAATTGACCCTCCAGCTATACTGAGCAAACCAAACAAAAATTACGAATTTATTCACGTACCTGGGAATTGACCCTCCAGCTGTACTGAATAAACCCGAACACTCCAGTTCCACTGGACCAAACAAAAAACATTCAAGTATACTGGGCATTAATCCCTCCAGCTATACTGAATAAAAATAAAAATTCCAGCTCTACTGGACCAACATAAAAATCAAGCAAAATAAACTCAGTGTCAATACAAAGGTGATAAGCTCGCTACTTACTCAATGTTTGGAAAACTCTCCTGATTCCGTGAACAACTTTACTCTCACTACTCCTAAAACTTAAAACTAAAACACAAGCTCGTGAGCCCCCAACTGAAAATGGCATCAAAAGAAACTATTCAACTCGTTGTCTGTCCTATCCCGGACTCTAGCCGCCAATTGTTACGTACCCCCTTCTCTAATCCTTTCGAACTAGTCAGGGGATCGTAAACAGGAAGAAGAAAAATAAAAATAAATAAATGCCAGCTTCAGTAATCTCTATTTATTCGCCACAAAATACAACATCTAACATTAACCCGCCACCACATGGAACACAATAGGAAAAATACACAACTATCTACAACTAAAGTCCTTAATTTGACTAATCTACTTGTCCCTAACTGTCAAGCCTAGCCTAAGTCTAAAACATGTCGTGGCTTTCCACTAGCTCACAGAGACGACCCGTGTCTGTCTCCCCTAAACCTAGCTATCCGAGACGTCCGTCCGTCTCCGTGTGTGTGTCCCGAGTGTCTGTCGAGAGTGTCCTAGTCTCCCGTCTACCCTCCTAATGTACTCAAGTCGTCCCAGACTAGTGTGGGAACCTTGTTAATCGAGCCTGACCCCAAGGTCAGGTCAGGTCAGGACATGACCGTCCATCTCGGCCCTGTGCGATCTGGAAGGTTTTCCCAGCCGTAAAACACGAGTTCTTGGCCACGTTAATAGCTCGGACCCCAAGACACCAGGTATGCACCGCCCACAGCGTGGTAACCAATCCGGTGTGGCCGTCACGGCCCAAAGGTTCTCACGGCCAGCACTGGTCAGCCTCTGACCACCGCCAGGTTGATGGATGAGCGTGAGATCGCTACCCCAACATACGGGTCAGCCCAGGTTAAACACCAGGTGGTCGTAACAATATATATATATATATCAGGGCCCCCCCAAAACGTTTCAGCCCGGGGCCCCGCCCAAGCTTAATCCGCCCCTGGGTACACCCAATTTATGACGTTATATCTGTGTGGTTATGAAACCTCTGTTAAGTTCCTAATGTGTGATGGCATATCGACACCATGGGCATATCGAACATTTTAGGCCTATGGCAACTGTGTGTTGTATAAAACTGCAGTCCAACGATCTACTTTTAAACTTTGTTACATTACACGAGTTTTATTTATAGCACTTACAAAACGTTCTCAATAAATAATAAACAGTAATCAACGTCTAAAAATAGGTTAACTTCTTTCATTGAATTTAAAATTCTAAACTAAATGAAATTAGCAATGTCGCTTAAAAGTAAATAAAATACCACAACTAGTGAAGCGCCTAAAATTACTATTGGCAACTTTTTAATTTAAACAGCTTCTTAAAGAGTGCTGACTCTTAGTAAAATATTTCTTTTACTTCAGCGTATGATTTAATGTAAAATCCATCAGTCCATTACTAAAGTACTGTTTGTTAGCACACATCGCAATCAAGGCGCTTGTTCCAATATCCTGCATATAATCGCATCACCGCCATGTTACCGTGACACGGGGTCAGGGGTCACAGTGCAGCCATACCGGCCTGTACACAACAGATGTTTACACACAAATGATAGACGGCAGCGCTGCGGCGTCATTTCACTACCAACAAACAGATCTGGTGTTTATATAGGATGTTGAGGTTTACAGGAAAAATTAATGCGTCTTGGCTCGACAAATTTTAAGCTTTTTAGTTTCGTTTTAATTGAAGTATCATACGAACTTACTCTTTATATTGCTGTGATGTTTCACAAAATTCACTAATATCCTTACAATAAAGGCCCTATATATAAATCATACACTTAAAAGAACCATGTGGCACATACATATTAAAGAGGCTCAATGCTAGAACTATGTTAATAATAATACTATATCCCCCAAATCCCCTCTCTCGGACACAATAGAAATAAAATTAACAATGCGTCATAATGGCGTTACTTAACAGGTGTGACTGACTACAAACCCCACACAACACATTAAGTATACACAAGTTGCAAACATAAAAGGTACACACTACTAAATTAACAGACAATACCTTCATACTTGTTGGTGTAAATTGTAAAGATCTAGAATCTATATCCAAATGTATGTAAGCCTACTTACTAGATCTAGAAATCTAGTCCAATTAGAATGAATTGAAAATAAAACTTCCAAAAAAATCAAGTCCAAAACGAAAAATTCTAAAATGTAACTTTAAAAAAAAAAAATCAACACACGGCATAACACAACCGATACAGCCTAGCGCTGGGTCAATTTTTTAAAACGTCAATTCAACTCAACACACGGCCAACCTACCTTGCCGTTTTCATTGTCCGGCCACGTCTGCTCCCGCTGGATGGGGACACAGCAGACGGCACGCGGCGACACGGCCAGACGCGACACTATCACAGTGTTACATCAATCCCGCTTTTAACATGTCATTACGGTCCTGGCCGAAGATAAGAAATTGTACCTGTGCCATAACAATGCTATTGTTGTGAGAGATAACAGTTGGGTGTTGTTTTTTTTTGAGCTAGTGTGTTGACTTGAACACGGTTAGAAGGGGCGGATAAGGACACACAATACAGTAGTATGAGTAGGCTGTAGCTGTGATCGATGGGCGAGTCTATTATTTTTTACCGCATTATTTACAAACGTAATGGCGTGTAAGGGGATCATCCATTAAATGACGGCTCGTTTTTAAACGATTTTAACCCCCCCCCCCCCCCCCCAAATCCCATTCGTCAAGCATCGTCACAAAACAAAAAGTTAAAAAGCCAAAAACAATTTGGTTGTTTACATTTAATTTTTAAAATGGCAGAATATTTCAGAATAACTTATCTTTAAACAGTACAAAAACGTTTCTGAAATTACTATTGCGGTATTTACATTAAGATCATATTATATAAACTAGATCTAGGTGGGGTTTTTTTTCTAGACCTGTATAGTATACATGTCGCAAGTGTAAACGTGTAATTTCAAAACAAAAGAAACGTAGGCCTGGCGTATTGAAAAAAATTAGAACATAAACAAAAGGGGGGGGGGGGGCTTAAATTTACGGCGAGGTGGGGAGGGGGGGGGGGGGGGCGACGAAAACAATAAAGTTTTGTATAAATTCTATTTCAATTGGGGGAGGGGGGGGGGCTGTTGATCTAGATCTAGCGGCATTTGTACCGTGTTATCACTGTAGATAAAGCCAACATAGACTTAAGTTGAATAAGTTCAAAAGCTAGATTAAACTAAAGTTCTGAAGTAATAGGTTATAGATCTAGTATAGGTCTAGATCTAGATCAAGATCTAGTCAAATAGATCTAGAATATAACGGCACCGATTATAGCTCTACTAGAATCTAGTCATTCTAGTGTAAAGTAGTGTAAAACTATATACTAGATATAGTTGGAGTTAACTATAGTCAGTGGCGTAGCCAGGATCGTTCCAAGGGGGGGGGGGGTCCAATTTTTACCCGGGGACAAGATTTGCACCCCCCTCCCCCCTCAGACTTTTGATTTGCACCCCCCCCCCTCAAACTTTTGATTTGCACCCCCCCCCTCAAACTTTCGATTTGCAGCCCCCCCCCCCCTCAAACTTTCGATTTGCAGCCCCCCCCCCCTCAAACTTTCGATTTGCACCCCCCTCATACTTTATATATATACCGAAGGGTCAATGGGGGGTTATGACCCCCCAAACCACCCCCCCCCCCCTGCCTACGCCACTGATAGTTGATATAGGCTCTAAGCTAGATCTAGATTTCTAGATCTAGATCACATGACATAATTTATTATTAACTACTCAGTTGTAGAATCTAGATTTAGATTCTAGATCTAGAATCTAGATTCTAGATTTTTAGATCTAGATCTAGATTTCTAGAATAGATTTCTATTCTAGAGTTTCTTCTAGATCTAGAATTTAGATCTAGACTCTAGACTAGATCAAATTTCTAAACTAAAACTAGAAATCTAGGTCTAGCTGCGTCTAGCTTCATTATATTTATTAAAATATTGATTTAGATTTATTTTACCCCATCTAGACATCTAGATTCTAGACTTCTAATCTAGAATCTAGATCTAGATCTAGATTCTAGATGAGTTCACTGCCGATCTGCGCCATAGCCAACGCTGCGGTCACTCTCCGGTTTTCGGCCTATAGCTAGATCTAGTCTAGATCTAGATTCTAGATCTACTTCATTTTGATACTTTATGCAAAACCGCAGTGTTTGGCACGTCGTGTTTTCATTTATGAACACTTCTAAAACTAGAAATAAATGTGTACCGTATTGCTAGAAGATCTAGATTCTAGATCTAGATCTAGATTAGTAGTACTAGCAAGTTGTTTTTTTTTAAATTAACTTCTAGAACATATAATCTAGGTAGTGGCCAGATAATATTTAAAATTATGAGTGAAATTAAATAAAATTACATAATCTGTACGCTCACATTGCAAAAATAGAATCTATATAAATCTACATATAGTTAGAATTAAGTTAGAATGTTAGGGCAAGTAAATGGCGAATAATTTATTTTGGCACGGTGAATCAAACAAAAATTAGGCCTAAGGTTTATCTCACAATGGCAATGATGTTGGTGTTTCTGTTCGCTTTCGATCAAAATCTATCAAATCAATCACAAAAACTTTGAAAACCCGAAGTATAAAATCTCATGAAACAAAGGTTTTGATTTTTGCTTTAACCATTATATTTTGTTCAAATATATATATATATATATATATATATATATATATATATATATATATATATATATATATATATATATATATATATATATATATATATATATATATATATATATATATATATATATATATATATACCCAGCCATTTCTTAAAATTGTATATTGATCATCAGAAATGCAGGCAGATTTCATAAAGAATGTGTTCGTCTAAAAATCAATAGAGCTTTGGCTTTTCTTAATCTTTGTCAATGTTTAATTCCTTATTGAATTTAAAATGTCAATACAAAAAGTGGCACAGATGTCTTTTAGCATCATCAGTGGCGTTGCTATGGAAGCAATGTCGCTGGTCCAGTGGTCCTATTGGGAAGCAAAAATCAGTAGAAAAGTAAAACGCTTATTTTGACATGCATTACTTAAATACTCATTGTCGAAATTAAGAAAACAGATGCAACCAGTGTTTCTTCCAGACTTTTTTCTCCGGGGGAGTACTTGAAATTTTCGGGGGGGGGGGGGGGGGGCGGACTTTAAAAAATGGGGGGGGGGGGGTGGACACTGTTAAAAGTATATATTTTCATATAAATTCCATTTCGTTCGGGGGGGGGGGGGGGGGGGGGGGGGCTGTAGACTTTCTTCGGGGGGAGGGGGGTCTCGAAGAGATGCATGGAAGAAACTCTGGATGTAACGTGGCTTAACAGACATAAATCCGAGTTTTCTACATTGATTGTATAACAGAAACTCAATAGGCCTAACAATGTTGTGTCAGTAAACTAGTTTTCGGGTCGGAGTCAACGGGCTGTATGGCGCATAACATGATGACACGTAGCCTAATATTTAACTGTGTCGGAGAAAATCCCCATTAAATATTACAATTAATAATGAAGAAGAAGATAACTAGTGTCTAGTTTTGCGTTGATTATTTGTTTCATTTCATATCCCCCTTTCCCTCCCTCCCCCCCCCCCCCCCCCCCCCCCCAAATAATAATTGCCCGTTGTAAAAGCTAGTATGACTATTAAACCATGTATGCAAGCAGACTGCAGTTACTGTTTTGTATATTTATGCCAAAATTCGAGTTTTATCCAAAGATAAAACCAAAAGAACACAAGTAGCGTGCACCCGTCACAGATTAACTCATATAGGCATTCTATCTTCTAATAATTGGATTTAAAATTCTGAAGGTTAAGCCATTTATAAAAAAAACTTTTAATGTCAATAAATGTATCCAAACGCTTTCAATCGTGAATACGATAAACTCTTTATTACTCTGGAAATAAATACTGTTCTTTTGATTAAAGATGTTTCATCAAATATTTGAAATACTATTATTATAAACTCCAATGTTAACACAGTTGTGGTTATCAATCATAAAGTGCTTTAACCTCATTTTCATTCGTCATAAATCCATCTCTGGATCACTTCCCTTGAACCGAGATTGTTTTTTCCCCCATTAATCTTTAAATAATGACACTACAATTATCTCTTACTTAAATGTTTTTTTTTTTTAATCTATTTTTATTTCTATATTAAAAATGGTTAGTGACTGGGTTTATATGTTGTTCTTTGAACTGATTCTTTACTACTGCATATTCTTCTGAATGGTAGTACAACTCTCAATCCAGATTTTGAACTATCAAAGTAAGCAAGATAATAAATAACATGACAATATAAAGAACACTGAAATAACTTTTAATTCACAGTTTAATCAGACACTATTTCTTCAACTCATAAAAAAATGAAAAGATGAAAAAAAAAAAAACATTTTCACTCCTGCCAGCCAGTTACATGTCATCTCACTCCATGGTAATAATGGTAACATCAGCTTTATAATACTACAGGTAACAATAAAGAGATAACACTGATAGATATCCCCTACAGGTGAAACTGCAGACTTGGCGTGCAGTACCTCCAGAGACAACACAGGATCAAATACAAAGTCTGACCTTCCATACCAAAAACTTTGATTCACTTTGAGTAGCAAGCAATCCAGGGAATCAAACAATACAAAGAACACATTTTACAACTATTAAATAAACATCAGGAGATACATTCAAAAACTAAGCAAAAGAAATCTGATTTAAAAACATCAAAATTTTATCAACAAGTTCATTGAATACAAAAAGAAAGTGAAGTCCATAGTTTAAAATCAGTGGATCAAAGAAGATTATGGATAACAATTAGCTTAGGAATGTCAAGGATGATTTATGATTGTTGTTTTCACTAAACTTGACTTCCCTAATCAATATTTAGTACACATAGTTTATTAGAATAATTTAAAAAAGAAAATGTAACAATTGCTCATTTATTTAAACTTTGAAAAAAATTAATAAAACTAGAAAAAGTAATATAACAAAGCACAATTTTTTTTAAAAAAGCATATAACATGTACATCAACAAAGTGTCATTAAAAACAATTTTTTTTTAAAAAGGATGTACATTTTTGTTAATCACCTTATAATTAGATACAACTAAGTAAAAAACGTATGAAGAATATGAAGAAGTATGAAATGTGGAATTCATCATCAAGTAGTTGTAATGAATACAATTTTTTTACATTGTTTTGAACCCATTTCAATTAAAAACTGCCAATATTGAACAAGTAATCCATTTACAGCAGTGAAACAATACAAAACTGTGAAAACTGTAACAAAATAATCAAATGAGATAAAAATGTCAAATGTATAAATAGATGTTACATAGATCATCTAGCTCATATTGCACTCATGGTAGATGAAAAATATTCAACTTATGAATGCAATACACTATTTTGAAGACTAGCAACAAGTTATACATTGTTTGCTTTTGTATTTGCTAGAAAAATAAATTAAAGTTCATTTTTTTAATATATGAAAATTTGTAAGCTTACATAGACAGGAGCAATATTACCTTTTTTTAAAAAGTCACTGAGCTAAAATATTAAGTATATATGTATATAAATATTCATACACACACTGGGGTTCCATGTCATCCTGTCATTATTTAAGGCAATGTCCAATATTATGCCATATATTTTACAATTTTAGAACCTAATCCTTGAACACTTGTTAAACAATTTTCCAGCAGAAGCCAATTCATCACACAAACAATAAGGAGCCCCACTGTATGTTTTATTTACATATATATATATGCATATATACACACAAGTAAAATAACCTTACCAATATAAACCCAAAAAAAAAAAACGGCACCAGTAACACAGAAGTAATGTGCTGATGAATGTTACTTTTTTTTATAGAAAAAAGTGACAATAATTGAAAAGATAAATTGCAATCAATCATGCTGATATCAACAAATTGATGTGATGCAATTACTTTAGCTTGAGCATTCATCATGTTTTTTAAAACAATTTAAACCATGCATACTTTTTTACTTTACTGGAGAACAGAGAAGCAAATATTTGTTTTTAAAAAAAATTACAATTGTTTGTATATGCTACAGAATGATTCATATGGTCAAAATCTACTGTTGATGGACCCACATTTTTACACATCTGGAATTGTCTGAAAAATTAAACAAAACAAAATATTGAATATTACAATAATAAAAGGTATAAATATTTATTATAATTGTTATACAATATTATAAGTTTCTTTTAAACCAAAATAAATTAAGTCCGTTTTAAATAACCAGTATTCCAAAAAGCTATATCGATCATCTTTAAAATGTGATACAATTAAATCTAACCCTAAATATTTTGTGATTCATATCTTCAAGACACTAGATAAAATGAAACTAGCAGTCACCTCAAGCTTTTACATAGTGATGAAGCTTGTATTGCCATCAGAGTTGTGTGAATCATCACCAGGCTGCATGGCAAACTGGACTGGGCCATCCTGTTCAACTATTGCATGTGTAACTTCATTTGGATCAGCTGCTTGGACAATAATAATGGTCTCCTCTCCACCGTCAGTCTGAAGAGTTGTATAGGTCTGACCTTGAAGAACTTGAGAAGCATCACCAACCATTGCTTGGTAAGTGCCATCTGACACCTGATTGGGAAACAAATTTCATTCAAATTAAAATCACATTTTTCATAAATTTGTATTTTTTAAAAATTATTTTATCAATACCACTTTAAAAAAAACAGAGTGGAAATAGATAATGGAATTAATGTCTTTAAAATCAATGAAAAGTGAAATGAGAAAACAAAAAAAATAAACACCTGAGCATAAACAGTAGTAGTCCCATCATCCCCATCATGGTGTGAGGAGCCTGCTGGGGCTATGGTAATAGCATGTCCCAAATCATCATCATCGTCATCTCCAGCTTCTTCAATCTTACGAATGTATGCCTGCATAGCCTTAGCTGATTCTCCATGAGACACATGAATTTTACCGATATGCTCCAAAAGTAGTTTCTTGCGCTTGAAAGTTTCATGACACATGTCACACATGTAAGGTGAAAGTTTTTTGTGGACCTAAAGCATGGAAAAAAATTCAATATTTTAATTAGAATTATAAACACTATGTTACAGCAATATACAATAACATATAGAATAAAACATAGTTTGAAGCCCCTTTTTAAAATCATTTAAGGTGTTATTCTTTTATCCATCAACTGTTATCATTTAATAGTGTAACAAATAATGAGTTCAAATATTTCATACTCTTTTGTGTAAAATGAAGTGAATTCTGCATTTTTTATATTGGTTGAAGAAAAGAGCTTGTTAAGTGCATAGATGACAAAGACAAAACACCATGGCCATAACTTACCAACTGTATATGAGACATAAGGTTAGATTTGTTATTAAAGCATCTTCCACAATCCGTACATTTGTGCGGCTTTTCTCCAGTATGAATCAGCATATGGCGATCCACATGGTATTTTTTGGTAAATCTTTTCTCACATACTGAGCAGATAAAGATCTTCTGATTGGGAGATTTCCAATTCTCATGCACCCGCTTAGTGTGGCCAATAAGGGCTCCAAGTGTTTTAAAAGCAGCTTTACAAGTATTGCAGAGGTACTGACGGGTGTGAAGATGCATACCCTAAAAGAACAAAAAGTATGTTAGGTAAAGTCAACAACATAGGTTTTAGTATCAGTCTTAATGGTTATTTTTTTTAATATCTTGAAATAATTTCTATGCCGTGCCTATATGCAATATCTTGAAATAATTTTTCTGGCTATAAATTTTGATTGTCTGAAAGTATATTTTTTTGCTATTTGTCATCAATAATGCTTAACCATAAAAACATACCTTGATATGTGTATTGAGATTTCCTCTAAAAGCAGAAGCATAGTCACAGTGTGGACACTTGTATGGTTTACGTCCAGAATGAACTGTTCTCATATGAGAACTCATTCCAGTTTTTAAGACAACCTGAAAATTATAACAATATATGTATTTTATGCAATAAGATGTCAACAAAGTAGACAAAAAAAGAAACAAAAATTGAACAAATGTTCTTCTCAGCATACCTTGGAACAGATAGGACAAGGTATTTGCATGCGGTTTTGTTGATGCAGTTCCATGTGTCTTTTCATGTTTTTGGTAACTTTGCCACATTCTGTACAAGTTTCTCCTGATTCATCTAAACCAATTGTTGATACCTAAAATGAAAACCTTCATTATTAGAAACTTCTTTCACCACTAGATTTTGTAAAAGCATTTTTATTACATTTAATTAAAATAATTGGTTAAAAAATTAAATTTGGTCCAAATACAAATTGGGAACACAAATTCATCACCCTTATTTGATACTTTAAAATTAAACGCATCAAATAATAAAAACCAAAGATTTCAATGATATTTTTAAACAATTTTTTATCAAATAAAACTGATACCTTCATAATTCTTTCCCTCCATTTTGCATTTCTCATTTCCTCCTCATAGTTGTGCTCATCTCTATGTTTTCCTTTAATATGTTTAACCAAGCCAATAAAGGCTTTCTCACAGAAGGGACATTTAAGAGCTTCTTCAGTATTGCGACGAATAGATTTCCTTCTAGGCTCTCCATCCTCAAAAAGACCATAGTGTTCCTCAAGTTTTAATCTTCTACGATTATATATATCATCCTCATCATATTCATCAAAGTCCATGGCATCTATACCTGCGTCATGGTTTAGTGGCCCAAACTTTTTCCTTTTGAGGCGAGGGTCTGTTTGAGTCTGCACTGATCTTCGTGTAGCTGTTTCAAAGATAGTCTCAACTTCAACAAATTCATCAAACTGTGGTGTCTGGGTAGACATACAGTTGTCTGCCATTGATGTATCAGTCCCTCCTACCTCTTCCTCTTCCACCTGACTGTCATCCAAATTAGCAATGTATTGATCACCTAGAAAAATTTAAATTGTTATGATCAGCTTAGTAAAAAAAATGTCAAAAGTACTACTAGCAATGGCCAACATATAAAAGCTTATCACAAAGCAACATGTATAGACCACATATTTACTAACCTGGAGTATGTGGAGAAGAAACTATATGTTTAACTTCTACTATATCATCTTCGTAGACTGGCTCTTGTTTTACTTTACTCATTGTCAATGGTACAACAACAATCTGTAGAATTTAGTATGTTAAAATATGTTTAAATTATACTTGTTAGTTTTGCAAATAATAACTGTAAGAGAAAAAAATGTTTTTTTACAAGTTCCAGACAAGAGAATGTGATTAGTTGGTAAATGTAAAGTTCTTGAGTATGACCAATGTCTTTGCCATTTTTATATCATTACAGTTACAGAAAAATGAACTGAAAGGTGACGTAACTATATTTGATTTGAGGTAAACCACAATGATCTGGCATCATAACAGTCCTTATAAAAGGGTTAAAAAAGTTATTTTTTTAACAATACAATTACCTCAGATTGTGATCTTGGCCGCTTACGTCCAGATCTGGGAGACATGCTAGGTCTACCTTTTCTTCCACCTTTGTTGGGAGAGTAATCCTCATCATCCTCTAAATCTTCTAAATCTTCATCTTCTTCCTCCTCATCCTCGTCTTCTATTTCCTCTTCTTCCTCCTCATCATCATCTATTTCTTCTATATGGATAGGTTTTTTAGTAGTTGTCTGATTTTTAGCTGAATCAGTTAATTTTGAATTCTTGGGAGGACGTCCTCTACGAGGTGTTACAACTGGTTCTTCATCTTTATCATCATCATCTCTACCTTTACCCAATTTTTTCTTAGGGCTTTCAGAACCATCGTCTTTTAGAGTAGGAGTCTTACGGGGCTGAGCTGTTGCAGATAATTTTGGGGTCTGCCTTTTTGTCTTCTCTTCATCATCATCTTCTGTTTCAACTTTTCTTGGTCTACCCCTTTTCCTAGGTGGCTCTGGATCTGAATCATGGTGTTTTTTGGGTCTACCCCTTTTTCCAGTGTGTACAGGAGTCTCCTCATTTTTCTTTGCCATTTTTGGTGTCACTGCATCACTTTCATCATCAGATTTACTTTTACTCTTACCAGGGGTCTTTGACTTTTCAGGTTTACTAGGTACTGGTGATTCATCCCCATATCTTTTCGGTGGCTTAGCTCTTCTTCTAGAAGAAATCTTTTCTTCTTCATTATCTCCATCATCATCATCTGCTTCATCATCATCTACCTTTGTATTTTTTGAAGCACTTTTATTTTGTTCAGTTTGCCCTTCTTCTTTGAGATTGTCTTTTTGATTAACTTTATTTTTTCTAGGTATTTCGTCAGAAATTATTTCTACATCCTTAGATTTGGGTGGGCGGCCTTTACGTTTAGGTGGCTCTGGTGTCGATTCAGCAGCATCTCCACCATCTCTTGGACTTTTTCCACCACGGCGACTCGAGTGACTGCTTTCTTTCTCACCCTTAGAATCTGTGTCTGGCTCATCATCAAAACCAAAAGACATTTCTGCATCTTTACGCACCGCAGCTAGTTTTTCCGGAGATCTAATAGGTCTTTTGCCTTTAACTTTAGCTGTAATTTCTACATCTTCATCATCTTGATCCACATCACCTTTTAAAGTTTGATCTTCATGAACAAAACCAGGCAACTGCATGACATCAGGCACATCAGATGTCAGGCTCTGGTCATTTCTATGTTTCTGTTCAATTATCTCCACCTCATCATCATCTTCTTCTTCATCTTCGTCCTGCTCTCCATTGGGTTCATTGTTTCTTGGTAGCTGTTCATCATCTTCTTCATCAACATCATCATCATCACCATCCTCCACACTAATTATTCTTGATTCACCGGTTAAATCACTTGAAAGCACCTACAAACAAATTTAGAAAAATTTAATATTCACAAGAAAGAAAATGAATGACAAGAAATTTTTATTTTTTGAAGTTAATAAAGCCAAAAGTAATTTTATTTAATTAACGAAATAAAAGTAACATCAGGTGTGACAGGAAAAACTGTACACACTATAAATCCACTAGAGCATATTATAAATTACAAGTTACTAGGAAGAAAAAACAGCGTTGAGGGGTGGTGTGTGAAGGATCAACAGGAGGATGGGGGTGGATATGTGTAGTATTATCTTCTGCAGAAAAACAGCTAAGCAACAAATAATATAGGTCATCCAACCGTAAGTTGGAATTTGACAATGGTAATAAAACTTCCATCTATTTTCAAAAAACCTTCTACAAGTATACAACCAAATTAGGAAGAATATTACTAACCTCTCCAGGCTGTAGTTTCTGTGAACTTTGTAAGGGTGGTTCAGTGGTTTCCTTATCTATTTCTTCCTTTTGTTCCTCTTTTTGTAACTGTGACTCCTTGTGTTTCATGGCTGTAAAATTTCAATTAGAACTTAAAATAGCCAAAAGGTCAAACGGGTATATATTTATAACAAATTATGAGTTTTCTTAAATATTAAGAAAGATTTTTTGCAAAAAAAACATGTATCAATAAGAATGACTACGCATTTATTTATAAGTAGTAATTTAATTTACTACTTCTTAAGTATTTTAAGTATTTTGAGTACTTTTTAATCATGCATATATGAATCTTGCTTTTTGCTTGTATGATAATATGCAAATGAAAGTGTTAGTAACAAAACAATTTAGTTGGTTCAACCTAGAAATAATAATAATCCAAGTTAAACAGATAAGTGGATTTTTTATGACCTAACAAATAAAGAATATAATCAGAGAAATATTCTCTCATTAGATTTCAAAATATTCTCCAGGTGGAAAATCTAATCCTCAATATATATCTTTCTTAGCTTACTGCTGATTTTTATTTTTATGGTTAACAAAAAAATCAAGTTTTTTATACAGTGTGTCCTTACTACTCCGTTGTTTACTTATAAAAAATATTGAAAGAAAAATAGTGTAATTATTAACTGATAAATACACACTAGAAACTAAAAGTAGTACTTCACCTGCTTGAGATACCTGACATGTAAGAAAAATAAATGTACTACAGATAACCACCAATTCTTGTATTTATCACAAAAAAAATATTTTGTTTCATTTTCTTAATTTCAGTGCATTTAAAAGCTTTTTATTATTTTTTTAATGTCTATACTTACTATTAGATGTAAAGATGCAAGAAAGTTGATGTTTAAGTTTTAAAAAACAATTAAGTACCACATTTATTTTTTAACGCAGTTAATTGTAATTAGGTACAAATATTTGTTATAACACCCAATCAGTATAGGAACTCTAAATGATCGTTAACTGCCTCTTGAGTTCCTAATTGTGTTCTGGTATAAATACTGCTAACCTGATAAGTTTGGGTGTTGCTACAAATTAAACATATTACCTACACTTTTGTTGTTGAATGTAGCTATCTTTAGTTTTTAATGACAGATTTTACATAATTAGGCTAAAAATTTAGGTATTGTGGTTCATGACAAAAATTAGAAGTGGGTCAAAAATAAGTTATAACAATTGCTGTAGTATAGAACAGGGGTTCCCAACCCCGTGCCTGCGGGCGCCATGGCGCCCGCCGAACGATTCAAATGTGCCCGCCTCTCACTATTCGACAGAGACAGAATTTTTTTCATAAACATTTTTGATAGGTTGAAGGGGATGGAAATCGAAAGTTTAAGGGGGGGAGGGTGCAAATCTAAAGTTTGAGGGGGGGGGGGAATGCAAATTGAAAATTTGAGGGGGGAGTGTGCAAATCGAAAATTTGAGAGGGGGGTGCAAATCGAAAGTTTTGTCACCGGGTGACGGGAAAGGTCGCTACGCCTCTGGAAGGAGTTTGTCGATTTAAAATAGGTGGTGCCCGCCACCCTACCGATATTTTAGAATGTGCTCTAGAGTAAAAAAAGGTTGGGAACCCCTGGTATAGAAGTATTAATAGCATAAATGTGCACGTTTTAAAAACTTATGAGCATCATACAACAAAGAAATATTGCTATATCAATTGCTGCATTGTTGGTGGCAAAAGTAGCTAGTTTTCTGTAAAAATCCATATTTACTTTGTACATTCTCAATACTGACAACTAACTTTACCTAGTTTGTTTAAAGAAAGTACTTCAAACAAATGATGATTCCACTTGTGAAACCTGCTTAATAATTTCTGACAGCGCAAAACAGGTTTTTAATTTTTTTCTTGCTAATTGATCTTGGGATTTTATATTTATTAGGCCCTACTATTAAAAAAAAATTTTTTTTAAGTACAACGAAATTTTCGCACAATACTATTTAATGACATTTAATAAAAAAGGCCAATAAGGAAAACTCGTATTTTTTCTCCAAAGCTGACACGGCAGGTTTTGTAAGAGGACATAAAAATATTGAATTTAACCTTCTGTAATTAAGTTATAAAAAAAACTGATTTATTTCATGGCAAATAATAATACTATTATACATTGATATAATAAATATTATTATACATATATAAGGAAATCCGGAAGAGAAGATGGACAGTGCACACCCAATGCAAAATGGCAACAAATGTCACCAAGATGGGCTACATCTTAAGTAAAATGACACAAGACTCAGGACTCTTAGAGAACTTTGATTCGCCAGACAACCCATACACCATAATGAGTGACAGGCAGTGAATGGATAAATCATATATCTATCTATATATATATCTCTCTTCTGGGAGCCGTTAAAAAACAAGCTGCAAGCGCGCCTAACAGTCCCCTCTCTTCCTCTCTATCGCTACCACCCCCCACCCCCTCACATGGTCTGGTGAGCTGTGGTTCACGCTGTTTACATTTTACAATCATAGAGACGGAGGAGCCTGCTTTCACGGGGGGGGGGGGGGGGGGGGGGGAAGGGGGGGGGTTTAGTGTTTTTAAGCAAATATTTTCAGTGGCAGCATTGGTACTGTCGAATTCACAAATTATAAATGACTGAAAAGTAGAAAAAAAACAACTAAATAGTGGCGTATGATACGCAGCGGGTCGATTCGGACTATATAGACCTACTAGATATTTTAATTTAACATTTTATTTTGTAAGACAAACTGATTAAAGTAAAGTTCCTTTTTCGACTGTCCATAGGACAAGTGAAGTAGAGTTCACCTGTTTCGGCATATGAAGGGACAGTGAGGTCAGCACTATGCCCAAACTTTGATCAGCTATTATTTAACCATGAACATTTATTAGTGCTTTAGGACACCATACACTTTCTGTAAATATTTTGTACCATAAAATTTGAATAAATAATGAGTCTTTTAACACAATGCAATTTTCATTTGTGTCATAAAAACAATATTTGGCTGGCAATGCCAGTACCTGACTTATAATAAAGTTATGCATAGTTAAACTGACAGTACAATGTAACGTCAATAAAAAAAACATTTGTTTTGAGTTTATAATTAAATCAATGCAGCAAACGCTATGGTCGACTTGATATATCAACCAATCACTAATTAGGGCCTAAGTGTCCAAAGTAAACATTGGCAAAAACACTTTAAACGGTCCGTCCAAGACTAAATTTTTTGAACTCTTAGCTCTTAGTAATAGCTGACAGTACTCTAGTTTAGAGACTCGTAGTACTCTTGCCTATAGTCTAGCCTATTAGATTTTAAATTAAATTTATCTTTATGATATCTCCAGATCTAGCTAGTAAGTCGCTAAGCTTGAGTTTTGCTAGACTGGCCTATTTTGATTTTCAAGTCTTATTTTTGTAGGCTAGCAGATCTAAATCTAGTAAAAGGCCTATTTAGTAAATTAATAATATAGGTCAGTCTATTTACTACTATTTAGGCCTAGAGTTAGGGGGGGCCTATTATTTTTTATTAGATCTAGATCTAGCCTGTAAATATATTTCCATAATACAAAATTAGCCAAATGATTACATTATTTTTATGGATAGCCTAACTAATCATAAGTCATAATCATATCGTCATAATAATATCATGGGTAGAAAATCTAGATCAATTAGTTATAGTTAGTTAGGCCTAGTATTAGGGGCTTAATCTCAAAATTTATTAATTTAGGCCAGGCTTGTTTAGAAACCAATTTTGGATACTTCATCATGTATTCTAGATTCTAGATCTAGTTGGGATTCTAATACATTCAAACAATAAAACACTGACTGTCGCATTTGGGCTCATACTGTAGATTCTTTTACTGTAGCATCTAACAAATTTTAAATTTCAACGCCAAAACACGCCAAAACGAAGCGTGTGTGTATCGCGATTAGTCTACTTTTTTTTTTATTTCAAGCTAGATCTAGAGTCAGCCATTTTTCCGGTCGCCATTTGCAAGCGTCTTTTCATATATTAAGTTAAAGCAACGACGCGAATACGAATTGGTTTAAAATGTTTTATAGCAAGCGTTGGAAATTGCAATAAACATACTCAGAATTAAGCCCCTAAAACAAATCGAAAATTTGGAAAAATTGTCCCCCCTGGACCAAGGGCACGTAATTTCGCCATGTTGTTAGCTGTGATGAGGACAACTTGGTATGGGTGGTGCAAGTTGAGGTTATCGCCCGTAGGCGCACAAATTTAATCATTAAAAAGGCAAAATTACTATGTAAACTTACCTGGAACAATGATTCAACTGCTTGCAAATGTTAATAAAGACTAATAGTTAATTAACCAGTTATTTTCTCGAATTTCTTCACGAATTGTAGGTCATCAAGCTGTTGGTAACCGGTTTGGTCAAATAATCTCCCATGATGCAGTTGTCTAAAAAAATGTTCTCGGAACTTTCCGACTGTTTCCGTACTCGTTTCGAGCATTTCCGGCTGTATCCGTTGATTGATTCGAATTTTATTGGGAAAATAAAGAATTTCAATATAATAATAAAATTCACCTCATTGTGGGTTAGATAGATTTATTTAGATTTATTAAATTCTTACTTTGCATTTTTAATAGCAAATGTTATAATTATTAGAATATGTTTAAGACATCTAAATAAAACTGATACGCATCGAGAAGACGCCATACTTTTAGAAATGAGACATACACAGTCACCAGGTTTCCCTATGTGATCCCATCTAGTTTACACACTTAAAGTTGGGTCTACATTGCACTATCGCACTCGAAGAAAAAGTGGACTCGATAGTTAGAATGTGGTCTGGCTATTATTATTTTTATACTTTTTTTAGCATACATAGTAATAGTACGTAGCCTAAATATTTAGCGATTCGCTCTCCGCACAGGACGCGGCCTTTTTTTTTTAAATAGACGCAGCCCTACATGGTTGAGATAGCAAAATCGAACCCCGTACAAAACGATCTCTAAAACTAGCCTACTATATATATATTCTACAGTTGAAGTCGCCTCAGGCGTCGACCGACCCTAGGGGGAGGAGGCAGTGGCGTAGCGAGGTCGGGTGTCACCCGGTGCGGCACTTAATGGTGTCACCCCCCCCCCCCCCCCCCAGAGGCGTAGCGATGACCCTTACCGGGGACAAACTTTCAAATTTTCGATTTGCACCCCCCCTCAAGTTTTCGATTTGCACCACCCCCTCAAACTTTCGATTTGCACCCCCCTCAAGTTTTTCAATCTATATTATACTATTTTTTGCCTTGGTGTCACCCCCCCCCCTAAATGGTGTCACCCGGTGCGGTCCGCACCCCCCTCCCCCCCCCCATCGCTACGCCCCTGGGAGGATGACAAACTGAAACTCGTTTTCTAACATTGCTTTTTTATAATGCAAAAAAGTGACGTCACACCATCTGAACCCCCCCCCCTCATCACACCGTCACAAAATTACGGACCTCCCTCCAGAGGCGTAGCGACCCTTCAATTTTGCACCCCCCCCCCCCGAGATTTCGATTTGCAGCCCCATCAACCTTTCAATTTATTTTTCCAACCCATTTTGGCGCCCCCTAAGGTCGGCGCCCGAGGACATATGTTCCCCCCCGCCCCCCCCCCCCCCCCGCCCCTTCGCTACGCTACTGCCTCCCTCTCCTTACTAGTGTGAAGTCATTTATGGGCGATCCCTTGGCCCTGGAGTGAGTCGCTATGCTTCTTCCACTTGGAGGCTGTCACTTGGTGCTGTTCGCGCCCCAATTTCTTCCCCTCCCACTGACGCTACAGGTTAAGAAATATTTAATGATTCCGGTAAACGGTGGTCATCCAGTGAACCACTATCATTTGCATCTACTACTTAAAAACAGCAAAACATGTTGAAACAACCCCCCCCCCCCCCCCCATCGACGTTACCTATAGAGTAGACTATAGGAGCATGAGGTAATGTCTCCCTGTAGAGTAATGTGTCCTAGGGGCAGCGTTTCTTCCAGACTTTTTTCTCGGGGGGGGGGGGGGGCGGTCGACATTTTTCGGGGGGGGGGGGGGGCGGACACTAATAAAAGTGTATGTTTACTATATAAATTCCATCTCGTTCGGGGGGGGGGGGCTCCGAAGAGATGCTTGGAAGAAACTCTGCCTAGGGGCAGGGGCGTAGCGAGGGGGGGGGGGCGGGGGTGCGGACCGCACCGGGTGACACCATTTAGGGGGGTGACACCAAGGCAAAAAATAGCAAAATAATAGAGAAAAACTTGAGGGGGGGGGGGGTTGCAAATCGAATGTTTGAGGGGGGGGGGGTGCAAATCGAAAACTTGAAAGTTTGTCCCCGGGAAGGGTCGCAACGCCTCTGGGGAGTGACACCATTAAGTGCCGCACCGGGTGACACCCGACCTCGCTACGCCACTGCCTAGGGGTAATTGGCTGGGGGGGGGTGTAATGTCCTAGACTCCACATGCATATATAGGCCCTATATAGACGTATCATATCATATCATTCTTCTTTTTTACTTTCTCGTATATACGAAGTATAGAGAAAGTCTTGTAATCGTGCAAAAAAAAATCGATATTTTTACAAATCTCGACGTTTTACACCTCACTGATACGGAAAAACATAATTTTGCAATCTTGTCCGTATGTCTGTGTGTCTGTCTGTCTGTGTGTCCGTGTGTAAACACGATAACTTGAGTACCGTTACCTCTAGGTTGATTAAATTTCATATATAAGTATTTTATCAAAATCGTAGATCCGTATCAACTTTTGAGCGATTTCCGATAACCGGAAGTGGTACTTTTCCTACTTTGAATTTTTCAAAAGCCTATAACTTGAGTACTATTTCAGATAGATAAATGAAATTTCACATGTGAGTAAAAGATCTAATTCTCTACCTTCTGTTAAATTTTGAGTAATTTCCGTTGACCGGAAGTAGTAATTTACGCTACTTCCGATTTCTCAAAAAACAAATGTAAATTTTAAAAGTACTAATAAAATTGCGCACTATTATGCGCTTTTTTATTTGGCGTTCACTTGGTGTGCAATTAATTTGTCTACGAGATTTTATTCTATTTTTTTAACACGTTTTTATTAACTCAGCTTCGCGTGTGTTTGTTGTTAAAATTGACATCGAAAATTAACCCACTTCTGATTGCTCAATAGATCTGAAATTTGGCATGTAGGCTACTTTCGCCTAACAATTTCAGATGCAATCATAAAAACTAGCAATTAGAGACGGTAATTAGCTTAATTTAATTACGCCCCAAGGACCATAAAATTGAGGACATGATTTCTAAAGATACCGACAAGACTGGAGGCTTATAGACACAGTTACTTCGGCCCCAATCGATGTGAGCGCGCTGGCCGTGATCGTATAGTGGTTAGTACTTCGCGTTGTGGCCGCGACAACCCAGGTTCGAATCCTGGTCGCTCAAGATTTTTTTAGTCCGTGTATTTATAAACACTTAGTCAATTCATACTTAATCAAGTCATTAGATAAAGTAGAAAATAAACTATATAAAAAACTTTTTTAAAAACCACGTTTTTCATGTGTAGCAACGGACTAAAAAGGAGAAAATAAAATACTTAAAAAAAACTTTTTAAAAAACCACGTTTTTCTTGTGGACTAAAAAGTAGAAAATAACTATTTACATACATTTGATGACAAAAAACGTGGGTCGGGCAGATGGGTCGGGAAATTTGATGGTGAACGTACCCACGTTTTTTGTCATCAAATGTATGTAAATAGTTATTTTCTACTTTTTAGTCCACAAGAAAAACGTGGTTTTTTAAAAAGTTTTTTTTAAGTATTTTATTAAAACTTTAAGTATTTAAAATGGATTAAAAATCATGTATATAGCCCGAGTTCCCATCCCCTGTTATTTTATATAAGAATATTCGAGAAAGTTTAGGGGAGATCACTCCCGGTTTATTTTCCCCTGATAATAAATTTAGACATTTTGTCTCACAAAAAGCTAGACGCCCGCGTATTAAGTCAAATTTTAAAAAATATTATAAGTAACGAGCCGACCCGGGGCGTAGTATACATCTATATTTAGTGAAGGACGAATCCTCACGGCTCTACGATTGGAAACATTCGGCGTGAACCACAGCTCACCAGACTGGTGAGGTTGGGGGGTGAAAGCGATATGGTCTGTAGCGCATGCCTGGGGAGAGGGGGGGGGTGGCGGTAGCGGGGTTAGATAGTCGGCTTGTTGCGTGCGTGGTGATGTCCACGTAGAGAATTATATATATAGAAGATACATGTCCCCCCCCCCTGAGTTTTTTATCTTATCAAATTTAAAATGCATATTGTCGGTGTCACTATAGCCAGAACTCTTACCATTAGGTGAGTGACGGCATCCAACACAATCGATTATTACGAGTCAACCTGTTATGCACCATACATGCCGTTGGTTCGGGCAAACCAATAATTGGAAAGAGCATATCTTACTTCATAATGAACATGTTACGAAGGCGTTCGTATTCCGAGGCAACAGTAGACCGGCACAAATTTATTCTACTCCTGGGCGACAGTGAAAACAGATATTTTATACGCCGCGGGAGTGTCGTCACAATGTGGATAGGAGTGCGGGGTAGACCTCACAAAGTAACATCAGAGGAACTGATGACAATGCTAATTTTCCAAGAAAACTAAAAAGACCAACCAAAAAAAATCCGCTTTTCCAATTAAATCAATAACTCGTCATCCTACAAAGGGGTGTAACACCTAGACAAAAAATGTCAATGTACTAAAGAGAAAAGCGTTTGATGTTCATGACACCCGGAATTACCATACCTTTTTAAAACCCAACCGAGTGACTCCCCGTATGTCTAGGAGTTTCAAAGCTACAGTCGGCCTTAGCAACATAGGGGGGGGGGGAGAGGGGGCCGGACACCACGACACATGGATGTAAAACAAAGGGTGACTTATCAAGTAGGCCTGTGTGAGGTTTCCAGAAAAGTAGGATCTCAATTTCTCTAATAAATATCTTTTCATTTAAACAAGATGCAGCATGCATTCAACTTCAAAAGATGTGCCATGGCCTATACAATGCAGCAAAAAAGGTAGATTCACAAGTATGTGTATTATTTCCAATCTTTACAAAATGTCAAGTACTGGATAGCATGGAGCCAGAAAGTTCATATTAATATCCATACAGATACTAAAGCTGTGCTTACGTAAGATGAATACACAGAATATAGATGAATAAAACCACCATAATTTTAGCCATCATTTAGAAATAATGTGAACAATTGACATGTTTTTAAAACATGTATTTATTTTTAATATCAAAATTATTTAAGGAAAAATAGATACCCCTTGAATCGGGACAAAATGATTATTCAAATTTTTAGCACATTTCAAACAAGTTTATTGAAATGACAGAAAGAAAAAAAACACACAAAGATTCAAATATAAAACAACAAAATGTTTGAGAAGTAAATGATAAAACAAGATTGCTTTTAAATAAGGGGCTATTACAAAAGAAAAATGTTACACTGAAAAAACAAAAACTTAACTCTGTAAACAAAGATTTCATTTAATGATTAAAAAAAAAAAGACTTCCCTGTAAAACTAGGCTCTGACAATAAAGAAAGAATAATGTGTCTAAAATCAATCTAATGGAAATGGAACAACACTTAGTTATTTCATCATGATCAACATTTGGAAATCTGACATGAAAAATTAATTCAGTATGAGAAATGAACATTTCATCTTTTCAAACTCGACTCTGACTGGTGATTTGGGAAACGGAATGTGACAAACAACAAATTGATTGGGATTTAATATTAGTAAATATCTGAAATTCTAGTAATTAAATATTGCATAAGATTCAAACATACAATGTCTGAACAGTTCTGAAAGATGAAGGTAGGTGACACCAAAGTACTACAACATTGCATAAGACATTAGATTGTATGCCATACGCACTGTGGTGATTAAAAAAAATGTAATTAAGACATAACAAACATATATTTTAACTTTGTTTCATCTAGTGAGATAAAATGTATATTTTGCATTCATTAAATTAGTCCATTTAACACTTCATTCATACAGACACCAAGCACTAGCTTTGTTTTTTTAAAAGAAAACCTTCACCTTTACAGAGCTTGTAATATATCTAAGTGGTATTACAACTAAACATAAGATGCTGGTTGAAAACTTTAGGCCAAAGCATTTTTCATATAGAAAAGCTTTTACATTACCGTGAAGCTTTGAGGTCAGATAAACAAAACAATGAAAATTACTTGTAACAAAATATAAATAAATTAAAATATATATGCTGTAACATACTGGCCATTGTTTTACCATTCTAATAAAATAATACAAGTCATTACTTTAAACACTGAATTACATTACATGCAAATGTTACAGAGCAAACTTTATAATAAATAAATAGCCATATACAAGCCATGGTTTTCTGTACACTGCATCTATTTATGTAGAATTCATTGTCATTACACTATTTCAATGTGGCTAAAATACATTTGCATACAATACTTTACATATCAATGATTTTATTGAAATTTTTTATATATTTATTAACATTTTAAAATACAATTTTACAAGGATATACAACTAAAATGCACATTTCAATTCAACAAGAATTATTGAAACTCAGCTCTGCTGTTTTCTTCCTTACTTATTTGCGATTTTAAAACAAAACAGAAATGTAAGGCTGCTTAGTTAATGACAAGTGACAGTGTGATCATACTACTGTAATGTGCTGAACAACAAATGCTGCCTACTTCATTTTATTATTTGAAAGACAAATTGATTTCTATATATTTACAATATGTTACAATTAAACAGGTTCTGTTAATGCAGAGAGAAGCAGTAGAGGTAAAACCTAGCTTTAAGTCTTTTCAAAAACTTCTGTACCTTAAATATCAAAATTCAGCAGCCGTATGATGCAAGAAATGTGCAACAAGAAGATATTCTATATTTACATCTTTTAACTACCTACTACCTATGGGGATATATCATTAAATTTGGGTACATGGGAATCCTCATCATCATAAACAAGTTTCAATGACTCTGATTCATCCTCTATATTGTCATCCTCATCAATTTTCTCAGTTTTCATAACATCTAAAGCTGTTAACTCCAGCTTGTCAGCCATACCAGAGCTAGAAGCAATGACACTAGATTCAGGATTCTTTATTGGGGATACCTTCACTAAGTCTTTAGCTGTTTCTTTTTCATTTGTCAAGCAACCTGAATTTAAAAAGGTGAAACGTGATACAAAATTGTTATATGGTGCATTTTCAGCAATATTTGACACAGTTTGTTTATAGACTGTTTAAATCCAAACTTATTTATCTTATCCACACAAATTTAAACATTAAACCACATTTCAATTAAGGGCTTATTAAAAAGGAATAAAAATTTAAATATCTAATGTAATTGTTTTTACCTTTTAAGCTGGCTAGCTTGTCTGTTAAAGCTTTATTTAATTTCTTGTATTCTTTTACTTGAAGATCTCCTTTCTTCACACTTTTATTTAAGTTCATAATTACTTTTTTGGCCTGGAAGTTGATATTGTAAAATTTTCATTAACTAATAAAAGTGAAAAGTGTTTAATAGACAATAAGAATTTACATATTGCAAACTATCTGAGGGCAAAGTAAAGCAAGCAAATAATTACAAAGTTTTAACTGTCTAAAATAATGTAACATTTTAAGACCAAAATTATTATTAAAATTATTTAAGTTTTGAAGGAATACCCTAATTTTGTTAGTGCAAAGTTTATTTGCCATTTATTTAAAACGTACACAACGTGGCTATGAGATATCTTTGAACGATTTTCAATAATACAAGTAATTTTTCATTCATACAAAATGCACAGTTTTTGAACAAAAATAATGGTTAAGTTTTCTAATAAACCAATATAACTATTAAGACACAGCAGCTGAATGTTGCTTAAAAACTTAAATGGCAGGGATAGCAATACATCATGACTTTAATATGATTCTTTATAATAACAAAAGTAAATTTAAAAAAATTATTTTAAAAGCTGGGAGCACTATTTAGCATTTTTCCTGTCCTGAGGAGGTAATTAGAAAAGTTAATTTATACATACTTCTATCAACACGTTTGCTTTGGACATGACGTGATCTTCTGGGAGGCCACTCTCTTTTAATACATGTTGTTGAAGTTCATCAAACAGAGCTCTTAATTTGGATCTTCTCATACGTTCACTATGGAATAAATTAATTTAAATATATTCAAGATATTTTAATAAAAGTTGAGCCTTGAGATAAACCTAGAGCAAAAACCCCCACCTGAAAAAAAACTATTACAAGGTAAGTCTAAATTCCTAACAATAAGGGAAACAAGCAATGCCTCTTTTGATGCATATCAGTGTGCTTTCTCTCAAACACATGGCCAGTAATCTTATATTCTTATGTCCTTCTATGAGGTGTGATCTGACACAAAGTGGGTTTGATTTAAATGATCTCCCCTTAATTTATTTCTATTAAATGTTTGAATTGGGCATCTTCAGGGTAGCAAACAATAAATATTTTCAACTTCAGTTGTTATTGCCCTTTTATTTCTAAATAGTGTGATAATGTTGGGAGTGCTGTGGGAGGAGCTTATGCAAATGTGTTTGAAGAAGGCTCTTACAGTTTGTTATGATGCTCAAGCTTGTCAGTTTTCTTTTCTCTACTCTTTCCATGTCCTTTACGCTTTGGTTGCTTTTCCTCCATTACCTACAAACACATTTTAAAATATTAGGTATCACCAGGTGAATTCATGTAATGAGATAACTATATCATTATAGAACTAAATACATAATATTAGAGTAGGGATTCTGGATGCACTTTCAAATGCCTAATTGCTAAATACCGAAACGTAAAACCAAAGAAAAATATGTGTAAACACTAGAAAGAGATAACTACTATTTAACTGTGTGTACTTAATGACAGACTAAAGCCTCTATGTTAGTTTTTTACAATTTTAGTATTTTGCTAAAGAAAAGCTACAAATGCCAGTGCCTTTGATGCTAACTTGAGGAAACATCATGCAGCGGGTTAATTAAATTCGGAAGGTTAGTGAATTTAAAAAAAAATCTACTGAAAGTTGAGAAAAAAAGTTATGATTTTAGGTCTGCTATAAAACTGGACTGACCAATTTTTCCCAATTAGCATACATGGTGTCATGGTCATTTTCCAGAGCAAGCTCTGCATTTTCTTTCTTTGATATTACATCACAAGGGTAGTCATTTTCACATACATCAACATCTTCCTGAAAAGTGGGAAGCTCTTTTATTTGGTAACCGTATCTCTTCACATGTTATTCTTCTGTTAAGAGAGTATTAAATTATTTAATTTTACTTTTTTTTGGGAGGTTTTTAACCAATGAGTTTTTCTCTTTTTAAAACTGTAAATACTACTTTGCTAGTATTAGCCGTAATTTATAGGCACTGAGCTAACTACTTCTGGCATAAACTGTGAAGATTTTCTCTGAAAGGGGGGAAATTCTAAAACACTAAGAAAGTGTAAACTTACATCAGAGCTAAGCATAATCATAACATCATCAGTTGAGCCAGTAGACAGAGAAGCAGACATTACACTTGTAGGTCGATCTTGAAGACTTGTAGGAACTGCCTCTGTAGGATGAGTATTCATGCCACTGCTGACTGATACATTGCTATCATCATCTGTATTTAAAAAGTTGTCCAACGATATGCGACGCTGTTTTGCTGCAGATGTTTCTTCAGCATGTGTATGTAGTAAACTTCTTTTTAACCCCCTATCTGCAGAGTCTGAAATCTTTTTAAGCAAAGAGTTTGAGGCACTAGACACACTGGTAGGACTGTTTTTAATACATGAGTATATCAGTGAGGACTTGGGCCGCGTTGGTATTTTAACGACATTTTCCACCTCACTGGGGGTGGGCTTTACTGAGTTGGCAGAACTTGCTTTGTCTGGTGTTGCACTTTTTACCATTTCGTTGCCCTCTCCATTGTTTAAATCATTAGATTCATCTGTTAAATCTATTGGAGCATCTATTAGTGACTGATGGGGAAACTTTGAGGTTGTAGGTTGTACCAGGATATGATCTCTAGAGACTGGTGGCGGATTTATTACCTGCTTGTCTGGGTAAACTATTTGTATTCTTTCTTTCGGTGTGTTCAGTAGGGAGGCATTTCTGGCCAGCTGTGATGCTTTAATGTGAGCTGCATCAAAAACCATTATCATTTCATCACTGCTATTCAACACTTTGGTACTGGAAGTTGCTTTATATTTCTTGACAGCATCAGCTGAGACTGTAATGTAATCTGCTTGTTTAGTGCTAGCTGGCAAAGAAGGTGTAGAAACTTTATGAGCAGGGAGATTCAGCAGTGAGGTGGGGGGTGTAGCCAACCACTGTCGGGGTGACACTGCCCTCAACTTGTTTTGGGCAGAGACTGACTGGGGGCCTTTTAAGATAGGGAGAAGTTTACTTTGGCTAGCGCCACTTACTGGAACAATAACTACAGAGCTACCATCTGCTTTGGATAGTATATCTTTTTCTGAAGCAGGAACTGGGACTGCAATGAGTTTTTTGTTGGCTTCTTGGCCCATAAAAACTTTCATCATCCCCTTTTCTCCTGGAATTTCCAAGCACTGTACTGGTAAGTTTTTAGGGTAAACAATCACCTGTGTTACGGTCTGTTTGACAGGGGATTTTTTTAGTTTATTTGTCCGCCTTTTATTTGCAGTGATAGCAGGGGTGGTGACAAGGTTAGCTGAACTAGTTGCCATCTTCAGGTCACTGCTGCTTGAAACTGTTATCACACTTTCTTTTGATGATGGACTCGTGCAAACCTTCATGAAAGTTTGGGGTCTAGCTTTAACATTGAGTTTCTTTGTGCTTGTGGGCAGCTGGTCTTGACTGTCAACACTTATTATTTTAGGTTTGAGTTGCACCTCTGTAGTGCATGAAACATAGGTGTTCTGCTGTCCTGCAGTATTTGAGTTGATGTAAAGGTTACCCAAACCTGAAATACCTACAGAAGATGTGGTTCTGTGTTCAGGGGATACCTTAGTATCTGAAACCATTAACTGCTTCTGTTTGTCTAATAATGAGGCAATGTCATTTCGATTTTTGACAAGAGATATTGCATGTTGCACTCTAGGTGTGGGTAGATTAGCCATTTTTATAGGGGATGTCTCACTTAGGTCGATGATCTGGGATGCAGAATTTGTATCCTCTTTTTTGACAATTTCTCTTCGAGTTACACGCACTCTAATTGAATACATCTGTCCTGGAAGCTTAGATCGTAGTTCAGCAGGTATAACACTCGGTTGATGTGCTTTTGGTAAGATTTCAACAACAAACTCACAGACATTCATGGTTCTTGGCTGTGGGTATTGTCCCCTTGTTAAGCACTGTGCAACTTTACTTAAAATTTCTTTTTTGGCACCTTCCCAATTACAATTGGCAGCAAATTCCAGCAGTTTCACCTCATCTTCCTCCAGTACATCTTCCTCACTGACATTTGATGGAGGTGGAGGAGCTCTGGCTTTAAGGCACACCATAGATGTCTGCCAACCATGGTTTTGACGAAAGTGTCCAGGAGCACTGTTGCACTTGATAGCTCCTGGCGGCAAACTGGACAAAGACTTTGAATTCCCAGAATCTGCTAACTTATTCACAGACTGACTATTAAATTCACCGGATAATCTGCGCTGAGAGCTTGAATCCACCTGTTCCCATAAAGATCCAGATGAAAGAAACTCTTTGGCATTCTGAGTTCTCACTGATACAATTTTGGGAAGATTTGACTGTGTTGAATTATCTACATCAACATTTTCAATTGACATCTTATCTTCTGGGGTAGCATGTGTTAAACTGGAAGACTTTGTTTGTGCTATCTTAGAAGGAGTCTCTTCAATTTGTGCTATCTTAGAAGGAGTCTCTTCTGTTTTGTCACCAGGTTTTTCCTTCATGGTTTGAGGTTTGAAGGGTTGTGTTCTAGCACACGAGGAAGATGAGAAAATTTCATTTGATAGTGGATGACTTTTTCTCTTTCTGTTGAAAAAATATTTACAAAATTAATTAAAGCTAATACATATATAAATATGTAACTGCTTTTTAAAATAACGTAAGTGAAAATACAATCTTGTTGTGCACAAACATTTATCAGACACAAACCTCTTATGTGCAGAAGGTTCCATATTTGGAAGTGTTTGGATGGTATCATTAAATTCAATAGGAACTCCAGTAACACCTTGCACACGAGTTTGAGGTAGCTGTAAAAATATCAAAGTATGTGAAAAACATTTTTTTTTTCCAGGACATTTTGAATCCAAGGTCTAAACAAACAAAAATAAATTCACAAAAGCACTATTCTTAGTTATTGCTACATGATTTCTAATTTAGAATATTAAAATATATTCAAATCCCAACTTATACTCACTTGAACATTAGTCCTGCTTTCTCCTTTAAAATCTTGATAAAGCAATGATCTTGCTTCCATTGCTGGAAACTGAACTCCAGTGAACATGACTTCATCACTATCTACATCATTAGTTTCTGTGACAATTTCAAATTCAGATGATGCATGTTTACCATTGGCCATAAAAACAGATGACTGGGAGAGATTGGCCACAGGTGTTCCAGTTGGACTTGAACTGTCAGGCTATAGAAGAATAAAAGGTAGACAACTCCAACATTAGGCATTATTAAAAACATAATTTAAATAGGCCTACTTCATATACTATTTTGCACAAAAAACAAGTGTTATTTATGATAGTAAGGAAATTTTTATTTAGGTATTGAAACTCTAACATAAGACATTGATAATAATACTTTTCTAAAAAAGTATTATTTATAGTTCTACAGATTTTTATAACTGCTCGTTTGCAGCACTGAGTAAAGCAATTACAAAAATAAGTGTATACTGCATTTTATTTGAAATCATTAATGATAAGTGCGTATTTTCATACTTTTTGAAAATTTAATACATTGGGTTTTTATTGGATGAAATGTTAATTTTCAAATTATTATTTAATGACACCACCCTCTATTATCGGCAGAGTTATGCCTCTTCTATAACATATTTCTCTCATTACATAAAAAGTACAAATAAAATGATAGTTAAGTGATACCTTTTTCTTCACTCTGTCAACTTTTTCACAATAAATCTCACTGGTTTCATACAGCATCATTGCCTTTCTTGTGATAGCATCCACATTTTTAGCTGATCTGTGTGTTTTCTCACGCTGGGGTAAATTAGAAAAACGCTCTCCAACCTTAGCTGGTTTTGGTCGTTTTCTCATGGAAGGGAGATAAGGAATATCATCATTGCCATACTGACTTTCTGTTTCAGAGCAAACACACTGCAGCATGCAAGATGGTTTACCACAGTGTGGTGAATTAGGAATAGGTTTTTCAGGATCTAGGCTGTCACAGATGCAGCCAAGACGACAGTACTCTTTGTCACATGATTTAGCCTTCGGACTAGAGGGTGGAGCAGAGCCTTCATTCACTGAACATAGGTGACAAATACAGCCATATCGACAACCTAGAAGCAAAAATGTGTACAAATAACTTACAAAATGTGTACTTTGTGAACTTTTTAATGAAAACAATAAAAATGTATCAATCTATCTGTTTATGTTATTTACCATGTTGAACAATAGTTAGTTATTTTGATTACTTACAATTATTTCTAAGCCTACCTGGTTTGCTGCAAGATTTGACAGATGATGAATCTGCTATGGATGGACTAGAGATGTTATCAGTGGCAATTTCTACACCCTCCATCACTGGTTCTTCTCTCAAATCTAAAGCTAATGGTGTGGTAGCTGTGGAGACTGATGAAGACATGGGGGTCATACTGAGCTGAGATGGAGTAGATAAACAAGATGATGGGGATGATCCAGCAGTAGCCACTATACTGAGTGGGGTGTCAGCTTTGTTGCCAGTAAAGCCCAATACTGGTGGGGTACTCGGTAAAAGTATTGGTGTTAGTGCAGGAATGTTGTTAAAGCGCTGTCTAGATCTTGAAGGCCTTTTACTTCTCTTGCGTACAGGTCTACTAACATCTCCAATTTGTAAAGTTTTCAATGCATTTCGGGCCATTCTCTCTGTTAACTGGGGAAAAAATTGCCAATTTAAAAAACATCTTTTTTTTATATATCAAGAGGCTGATAAAGATAACTGTTATTGTATATCATCTAGTGATCTAGAATGTAATTTAAACCATTTATTAGTTATACTTTAAATCCTCTAACAAGAAGAGTTTAAAATAAGTAAAATTCAAATATTTTTTTAAATAGTAATTTTTCAATTATTTTTTTGTTCCTGTTGATTAAAATGTATTTATACTTACCAAAGGGTATATCAGCTTGACAATTTTCTTCTTCTTTGACATTTCAAAAGCCTCTCTGGCATCCAAACAGCCTTTGACGTCAAGCAAATCTCCAGTGTCATCTAAATCTCTACCCTCAGCAAGCAATGAAGATGTATCAAAATCTTTGCCTTCAGCCCCACCATCATTTTCTTCAATGCAGCTAACATCCATGCTGGTATCTTTCAGGTCTTGTGAACTATTGTCACCAACCGCCTTACTTTTTTTCTGCTGGCGTTTTTTAGCAGCAGTTGAAAATTCTTTTGGTCTGTTTCCCTTGAGAGACCAGCCACCTAATTTACGGTGTATCATTCTATCTTCCCAATCCATTCTCAGCTCTCTAAACAACTGCTTATGCTCTTTCTGGTGGCTAAAGCCTTGTCTTCTTTTAGAACGTGTTGAAACCACCTCTTTGCTTTTATCTTCACCTGTCTCTTCTCTAACTATCATAGAAATATTATCAAATTCAGGACTGCAATAATCCTTCATATCTTCATTATAACTGTAACTTGAGTCAGGATATTCACTTAGATTCTCCTTCTGGTCAATACCTGGTGTTACAAACTGCTTCCTTTTCCATCCTTTAATTTTTGATACATCTGATGTCTTCTTAGGTGGGCTTATTGTTTTCAAACTAATTTCTTTTCTATTTGGATTGTAACTGTTACTGACCTCATCAGTGTACAGACGGCGATATTTTTTCCACCGCATGTGTTGTCCTCGTAGATGTTTCAACTTAAAGTCTCCCATATCTTCATTATGAGCCTTAGCTTCTTCAAATGCCTTGGCTCTTGAAATTCTCAACATTGTATCATCTTTATCCCACTCTAATGCTTTCTCAACTTTTATATGGGCTTTAAGTTCTACTTCATTAGCGAAAGACATAAAAAGCATGCCTTCTATTTCATCAAAATCAGGTTCATATTTTGAAAACTCAATGTTAAGTTCATCTTCTATTTTTTTCTCTTTCTCTTCCTTTTCTTCCATCTTTTTTCGTCTTTTTTCCTCTTCTTCCAAAGCTTTTGCATCTATGGCAAGCATTTCTTCTCTTTTATTAGATGGTACTATGATTCTGTTGGACGGAACACTTAAATATTGTTGAAGCTTTGGACAAATGAAAACATTTTTTGACTGTGATGAAGCCTCTAGCTCAGAAAGTATTGATAAAGGTTTGGGTTCTAAAATAGCCCTTGGAACTCTCCATGTTTTTTTCAATGCTCTGCTGGTATAACTTGTGCCTGGAATGGGTATTTTGCTGCCTAATTTTGACTTGACGTGTGCATCTTTAGTGACATTTTGCATGGATGTGCTAGGTGACGACACAGAAGCTGCAGCTTTTACATTCATTTGAGGACTACTATTTACCCTCCTGAGACTGATACTATTACGAGAATTCTCATTTTGATGAATATCATCAAAAGTTTTTGATTTAGTGAATGAGCGTTTTTGTGATACTTCACTCTCAGACATTACCGATAAAGAATCTTCTTCAACATTAGCTTGCGGACTAGATTCACTTGCTTTCACACAAGTCTCTTCCTCAGATATATTACTTTTCTCCTGAGTTGTACAGTCCAGTACCACACTTGTGGCTGCTTTAGTAATGGCATCAACATCAAGCTCACACAAACTTTCATTCAGACTAGAAGAGGGAGTAGTAGCATTGGAAGGCACATTACAGAAACCTGAGCAGTTTGTGACACTTTCATCTTTATGTAGTGGTTCATCAACCTTTGTGGCATCATCACCAACCAAAACCCCCTCTTTAATTCCAGCTGCTGGGTTGGTTAATTTGAGCATTTCTTCTTCTAATCTTTTCTCTATATGCTGCATCCTGTTGTCCAGCTTGGAAACAACACTGGGGGGAGACTTTGGACATGAGACAAGCAATTTTTCTACAAGTTCCATATCAACAGGTGTGGAATATGGTATCACATCTTTTGATTCCTTCAATCTACTAACCAAGTTGGATATTAATTCATACAATCCTTTTTTGTTTTCCGGCAAATCATCAGACCCAGAAAGATTAGAGCCAGCCTCAAGAGATGTATCACTGGGAGGTAGGGAAAGCAGAAAATCATCTGAAACATCGATGTCCAATAATTTTAACACATTCTCATTTATCTTTTTTAACTTGGATAGGAAATCTATATTAGCTCTTTTATTTTTTACTTTGGTTCTTCTATTTTGAATTTCAGACTTTATAGAAAATTTTTCTTCATTTTTCACTATATTATCACCATCCTCAGAATTGTTGCAGCTATCCATATTTAGAGAATCACAGCTAGATTTTGTGCAACCAAGTCTAGTATCTTGTTCAATTGCACCTTCGGATTTGGACTTGTCTAAATATTGAGAACTATTCCCCTCCTGTGAGCTACTCACAGAAGGTGGGGTAGACTCATTGTCTGATATTTCAGCTCTACTAGGCTTAAACTTATCACGATCCTGAGTGTATGTATTTGCAACTTCCGTACCACCAACCAACATAGCACACAGCAGAGATGGTTGTGATTTGAAATTAGATCCATCATTACTTATTGCACACTGTTTACTTAATGGAAAACTGATCAAGGAATTAGTTGATCCTGCAACTTTAGAAGAAGCCATAGTTGATGTCACAAGATTATTTTGTGAATTGTCATAGTCACAACCATCAATCTCACATTTTATTTCCTTTGAGCAAGATATTTCAGAGTTACCACTTTTTTCGTGGTCTGAATTAGATTTTAATCTTTCACATTTTGATGTCTCTATTATTTCACATTTTTTTATATTCTCCTCATCATTACCAGCTTTGAAAAATTTCAGCGATTCTTTGGAAATGCAAGGCTTGAGTTTTCTTAATTGTGAGGACTTTGGAGCAGAGTAAATAGGAAGAGCTATCATATCCTGACTTAGTCTACGAGGAGAACGAACCCGCTTACCCAAATCACCACTCAAATTTTCAGCAAAAATATTAATTTTTGGTTTATCATCAGCAGGTGAGCCTACAGGGTGAGCTCCCTTAGGACTTATTTGATGGGTCGAAGCACTTGTCACTGGTGAATGCTGTCTTGGAGAACGACGCCCAGGGCTGCTTTCAGGTGTTTTCTGAGACAAGGGAGATGACTGAAGACGTGTCCTTTTACTTTTCTCTTCCCTGACTTTCTCAGACACTGCTTTCAAAGATTTCAATGAAGCACTGACATCGTTAGAGGAAAGTTTTCTACAAGCAGGCTCTCTTACACTCTTAGTTAATGGAGTTGTTGCATTAGAGTTGTCTGCTTTGGGTGTTTCAAATGAACTAGATTCCCCACCAGAGTCTGATTTTTTTGAGGTATGGAACTGCTCTTCTTCTCCACTACACTTAACTGGAGTCTTATAAATATCTGGAATACATATTATTGCCTTAGGAAAATCTCCTGAAAATGATGATTCGTATTTGGAAGAACTGACTGGTGAATTATGTGTTCGGTTTATTGAAGAATCAGATTGGCTAGCTTCCTCAGTAGCTGAGCTGTGATCTGAAAATAATAAATAATACATTAACAGATACATTCATAATGCTTTTACAATAGCAAGATGTGTGGCAGAGTGGATATTCATCTTTCACACACAAGAAGTTGTTAATATGTTTACTTTGTATAAAATGTTTTTATAAAGCTGACTGATTATTAAAAAACTGAGCATGAAAAAAAAGACCTAAAGAAGTATCCATTTCTGCACTTTTAGTCTCTGATTTCTCAGCAGGCAAGCTAGTTTTTGATAAAGATTCAGGTATCTTTTCTTCTGGTAAACTGTTCTTTCCCTGGTTTGCTTCTAAGGAATGTTCTTTAGTCTGTTTTGCTGCTAAAGTCTCACGGAAAATTTCTTCTTGAATCTGTCTTTTGCGTTCAGATGCATTTTCTAATGTTTGTTTTTTTGTCCGAGCCATGTTGATTTACCTAGCCCGGCCATTCTGTAAGAAAAATTAATCCAACTTGAGTTTTAAGTTACATTACGGAACAGCAATGTAGTACACACCTATTTAGGCAGAATCACAATTCTCCTAAAAACTGTGCGAACAAGGAAAAACACTTCAAAATTCTTTAGAAACTTCACACTACAATACATACAAAAAAGAATGACTTATGAGAGTAGAAATTTTATAACTTGAGAGATCAGCAGAGAAAATAGATTAGTAAAGAGAACTTAAGTACTAGAAAAGAAAATGGAGTTGGACACAATCTCAAAAAATCAAACATCACAAGGCTAGCACTAGAATGGAAACTTATAATAAAAAATGAAAAAAAAAATTACTTAAGAGAATATCACTTGAGAAATAGATAATGTAAGGACATGACCTGAGATGAAAAAAATATCAACAAATTGAATGTTAGAATATGTGAACTAGAAGTAGTTTATGTATAATGCTCAAAAGTACACCATACAAATAATACTACACTACACACCATTTACAGGCTACTATCAATCAATGTATGAAAAAGTATGGCAAACAAAAACATGTAGGCCTGAAAATGTAGTTGTATTTGATGCTAGATTGTTATTTGTTATTGTAATTTAAGATTTTATAATTAACTCTTGTACAGTGTGTTTGTTTTTATACCAAAGCATTACAATAGATCATAATAATCTAGGCCTTTAGCATTAGCCTATATTAAAAACACCAATTAAAATTTTAAAATATTTTGCCAAGGGAGTAAACTGTGTTAAGAATATCTTTTTAAAATAGGTCTATTTACTTTTATTTAAAAGTTCAGTAGAAATCAAGGTAAGATCAACAACAAACTACTATGCAAGAACAATAAGTGAATGAGATAACCATAATAGGCTACAACAACTGTCAAGGTTTTAAAATGTACAAAAAGGAAAATGCAGCTAGATCTAATATTCATCTGCAAATTTCTTTACCTTCCCTTAGTTAAAGGATATTGCTAATAAGACCCACATTAACTCATTTATTTTTAAGTAGATTTACTGCAATTTACAGACTTAACTATTTGAAATTAGAGTGGGCCTATTTGTGTGTTTAGGTTTGAATACTTTAAATTAATAATTAGGCCCCTATTTATATTAGGCCTAATTAATAATTATTTATAGTCAAACTACAAGCACTGTAATTGGTATGACATGTAATGTTTGGTGTAAATGAGAAAATCTAAACAAAATAAACAGTTTCACTAACTCTACTTTATGAAGACCTATGCAATAAACCTGATTTAGCACACAGTTTATTTATTCATATTTCAGGCTAGTCCCCTATTGAATATAGATCTAAGTTTAACTAGGCAGTAGAAATAATAGTTAATATTAATATTTTTTTAAAAGCATATAGATTTAGATCTATAAATAAATCTAGATTCTAGGTCTAATAGGCTCTTTGGATCTAGGAATAGTCTACGAGCAAGCATGCATTTTCCCGCTTTTTCAGAGGTAAATGAGTCAGTGAAACCGCATGATTGGAGCTTGGGTTATTTTTAATAAGAAAGCGAGGCACATTTTTCAATAACTAGCGAACGTTGGTCTGGTTTTTCACTACTAATAACATTAGATAACTATTAACGGCAAAGTTAACTTTCAGTTTTAATTTAGCTACATAAACAAGGAAACATATTACACCCTCACACTGGATCGTCATACTTAAAGTGAGGCCCTCGGAAACGACAATAACATTGGAATAGAGCATACTGTTATAGTGGTAACATTCAATGATCAATAACTTTGCACATTAGATATGTATCATGTTTATGCTGGGCATATTGATAGATCTACAGTAGCTCTACAATATGTGAGAGTCGCAACAACTAGAAGTCAATAATTGCACAGTTGTTAAATCGAAATTTTGATCAACTTACAATTACACCTCCGCCATTTTGGTAAAAATATGCATCATTGTCGTAGTGCATTATGGGTAATTTTTCCTGAAGTCTAGGCCACGTGTAGGGTCACATGACATTGTTTATTGGAATTAGGTCACCTTTCTTATTAGTTACAATTATGGTCTACAACATATCCACTTATTATAAATTTTCTTTACACAATAGAAAACTTACTCAGTAACTGTAATATACACACTGACTGTCGTTTCCAATATGGACTAACTATCAACACCGTACCTGCACGATTAAGCCTAAATGTAGGTCACCTTGCACCTTCGCCGTGGGTAACAACTCTCTTTTCAATGTCATAAATAAAAGCATTAGAGATTAAGATTATCTATTTTATTTAGATCCAGGCATGAAAAGCATACGCTTAAAGTAATAAATAGCACTATTTGTGTTGTGTTTCAATTTTTTTCGTAATTAAAACTAACCAAAATAAATAGACAAATAAATAATTAATAAATAATTATAGGCCTAGATCTAGATTCCTAGTTCTAGTTTGTTTTTCTTCATTCACACGCTGGTCTCTGCATCCACTACCACTGGTATGGAAATTTAATTTTCCGGTAAAATGTTTTTGAAACATTTAAATTATGCGTATTTCATGTGAAATAGCACCGTCTTCTTGTAAAACAAAATAAACAACTAGATTCTAGATGATTAGTACGTAGTATTACACAGAGTGGAGGGCTTTGAACGCACTTTCACAAGCATGTAGTCTAGTGAAAATAGAAGAATTCGATGGGGTGTTTCTAATGTTTTTAGTCATGTACAGACATATACGTTAAAAAATAGACTTAAATGTCGTGTAATTTAATAGCCATCATACAGGATAACCAATTTTTTAGGTTTGACCTGATAATTTTATATAACATTCGGAAATTTGTAAAGAATACCGAATTACAGTAGGCTATTATAATGCCTAGCAAGCCCATTGCATTCGGTTGGCCTAAAAATAGGATAGCTTTGCTAGATCTAGACATCTAGATCTTATAGAAATAGAAATTATTAGATCTAGATTAAAGATCTAGACATGCACCGACATTCGCTATCATACATTTATAAGAAATCATTCTAAAATGTATCACATTTGACCCAATCCATTTGCTACTTTTAAAAAAACAGAAATTGCTACATTGAAATTTCGAATGAATAAATAATTAATTTCATGAGAATAATTATAGGCGAACAGGTTAGTAAAATTAACTATGACTGGACCTCACCAGAGTAGTAAGAAGTCCGAATGAGTTATATGCATGTCCGGTGTACGACTTACATAAACGACCACGTTTTTTTTACTTGGCTTATAATCTATAATATAAATACTAAAACATAAAACAAAACCAGTTTAATATTTACTAAATTATATTTAATGTTAGACATTGAGAAACAAAGTCTACGTAATACAGAAATATTTAAATAAGTAAATAAAACAACGTGTAGACTGTACTTAAAGAAGAGTCCAATATCCGAATGGTTTTACTTGTAATTCGTCACGTGAAATTTACAAACGAATTTTAAATGATAACCTCCCCTTGTTTGTTGCTACACCATACATATTTGGCATATTTGGATTTTTCAAATCAATTTCCCTCAATATAATAATATCTTTAAACTACTGTTAAAGTTACCGTTGCGAAAAAGATATTTTATAGTCTGTTGATTAGTGAGAGTTTGGTTTTGGCTCTCGACACATCGATGTGGACTAACCTAATCTCATCACAGTAATAGTATGCTCGTAGTCTTCAGTTAAAAACATATGATATGGAAGGGGGGGGGGGATTGCTCTCTCTCTCCCTCCGAAGATATGCTTGGAAGTATCTCTAGAACAGTTTCTTCAACACCCCCCCCCCCCCGAGGAGAAAAAGTCTGGAAGAAACACTGCTCTAGAATAAAGGGTGTGGTTCTGACCTGGTTGTTAGTTTTCTCGTTTATTGATAAAATACAATCACTCATACATCGCTTTGTTTTAACTGGCCTCATCCAACATAACTGTGGTATCCTGAACATATTTTTCCCAATAGTAGCACGGCGATGTAAGTAGCCTAAAACAGCAGTACAAGCAGTGGCGTCGCTAAGTCGGGTGTCACCCTGTGCGGCACCTCATGGTGTCACCCCCCTCCACACACACAACAAATAAAAATAAATTATAGGCTATTTATATATATATATATATATATATATATATATATATATATATATATATATATATATATATATATATATATATATATATATATATATATATATATATACATACATAATATATCATCTAACCACTGCACTGCTCGTACAATGTGCATGTGTTATCAAGTTAGTCCAATTGCTGTAATGAAGTCCATTTCCTGTGACGGGGAGAGCAATGTCGGGGCAACAGAACCAATGGTGATAGTAGATACAGCAGCATATGTTAGCATTGGGGGGTATTTATATTAGAGGAGGTGGGTGGGGTGCCGGGGTGTTAAAGTAAAAGTCGGTTGGGGTATTATTTGACACATATCAGTTAACCATAATTGCTGATGCTATTCTTCATTGCTATTTTTCATGTCTAATTTCCCCCTTTTGTAGGTTATTATTTGTATTGTAGTTTTATTTTCCAATGTATAATGAATCAGTAGAGCTACATTATACATGTTTATAATCATGGTAGATCTATATATCGCTCTGGGGTCTTTATGCTGAAACCTTGATAAACCATCTAAAAATAGCCGCTACTAATGTGTATGGTTATCCCTGTATTTGAGTGCCACTATCTGCAGGCAAGTCTCGCTGTGTGAGGGTGTCACCTGGTCGGTACACCACCACCACCACCACACGCTCTAGTTCCCTCATCCTGACACCACACAGCTAGCGCGAGAACTAGCATTGTAAAACCTGCACTGATCGAGTGGCGAGGGCCTCGAGACTTTTGGTCTGGTGACCTAGATACACACTCCGCCATGCGGCTTACAGGTTTGTGAGCGGAAAAAATGACGGCATCATTTTCATCCTGCCTGCCGCTCTACGCAGTTTTTAGAGGATGCTTCTGTGATCGACCGGCATCAAGATTATCGATGAATTAATCCCAAATTTACAAACCAGCAATAAATCTACGAATATCAAGTATTTGTTTATTAAACGCCGGATAGATTATGAATTATATTTGTAACGCAAAATGGAAAGTTCCACAATGTGGTGATGTCCAAGATAAAAAGAGATAATAGGGTGTATGGGGGGGGGTGGAGAGTAGAGAACATGGAGAAAATAGAGAAAATAGAGGCAAAACCTACACAGACCAACACGAGTAACATCCAAACAGAACAAAGTCTTTTGATATGTTTTTAGTGGTGTGCTAATTATTATTTTAATGTGTTTAAAAGGCATGCGTTGCTATCAATACCGACTTTATAGATCTAATAGCGAATTGAATTATCTAAGGAACTATAGGACGTGGTACACAATTAGTGCATTACACTTTCAGT